TTGACTTAATGATATCTTCAAATTACAGAGTTTATTGGGACATAACCCCATTGTAAGTCAAAAAGTCTCGACAGATTTTCTCTCTGCATCCAATGACTTACTAGGTTATCTGGTTCTTTATTCATAGTATTTTGTTTGAGACAGTTTCGCTCTCATTGCCCAGGCTGGAGTGCAATGGTGGAATCTAGGCTCACTGCGACTTCCGTCTCCTGGGTTCAAGTAATTCTCATGCCTCAGCCTCCGTAGTAGCTGGGTTACAGGCATGCACCATCACACCCAGCTAATTTTTGTATTTTCAGTAGAGACAGGGTTTCACCATGTTGGTCAGGCTGGTCTCAAACTCCTGATCTCAGGTGATCCACCTGCCTCAGCCTCCCGAAGTGCTGGGATTATAGGCGTGAACCACTGTGCCTGGCCTGTCTGCTCATTTTCTACTATTAATCACCTTATATATGTTATGTGAAATCTCTGATTTAACAGTTTTTTCCTCCAGCTAAATTCTCATAGACAGCACTAACAGATTAACTTACTTAAAATATCTTTTACATGACCATGGAAACGTAAGAAGTTCCCACTGCCTCTGAAAATACAAAGTTCAAACTGAAGCCCTCCCACAATCCCAGAACTATATACCATGTATACCTAAATTTCCCTCTAGAACAACCAAGTCAACAGACAAAGCAATACATGATCCTTGGCTGTGTGTGGTGGCTCATGTCTGTAATCCCAACATTTTGGGAGGCTGAGGCAGGCAGATCACTTGAGGTCAGGAGCTTGAGACCAGCCTGGACAACATGGTAAAACCCCCGTCTCTACCAAAAATATAAAAATTAGATGGGCGTGATGATGGTACATGCCTGTAATCCTAACTACTTGGAAGGCTGATGCAGGAGAATCACTTGAACCTGGGAGGTGGAGGTTGCGGTGAGCCGAGACTGCACCACTGCACTCCAGCCTGGTTGACGGAACAAGATGCCATCTGAAAAAACAAAAACATGATCCAGTGTAGATTTAAAGATATCAGCAAACTTTTAGTGACTGTATTTACTGAGTATAAAAGGTAGGGCCTCTGGAAGGCATTGGGAAGATGGTCTTCAGTCTCAAATCTCAAGTTTTACAGGACAGCCAGACAAGGACATAGAAAGCTAACATTAGAAGGTATCTGTCCCATAAACCAGAGTGTAAACATACTAATTGTTTGGAGGAGTGCTGAAGAAAGGGCTGGACCTTGATTGACTAGAATGGACAACTACCAAAGAAAAAGAAGAGAAACAGAAGAAAACTACCAAAAAAAAAAAAAAAAAAAAAAAAAGGGCAGGGGGGGGGGGGGGGGAATGGATACTGTTAAAAAGGTCTTGTTCAATTCAACATCTACTGAGCACAATGTGCCAAACAGAAACTAAGTATTCTCCATGAAACCGGAGTGAAGGGAAGAACTTTTCTTGGCTCTTAAGCCAGCTCCTTCTTCAAGTAGACATTTGGGGACTGACACGTAATAGACATTCAAAACATTAAATGAATGACAGAATTTCACTACTAGCTAAATAGAAGGGCAGAAGAAAAGGGATTATTCCATTATGGAGTTAAAAAATGAACTTCAGGCCAGGCGCAGTGGCTCATGCCTGTAATCTCAGCACTTTGGGAGGCCAAGGCAGGTGGATCACCTGAGGTCAGGAGTTTGAGACCAGTCTGGCCAACATGGTGAAACCCTGTCTCTACTAAAAATATAAAAATTAGCCAGGCATGGTAGTGTGTGTCTGTGATCCCAGCTACTCAGGAGGCTGAGGCAGAATTGCTTGGACCCAGGAGGCAGAGATTGCAGTGAGCTGAGATTGTGCCGTCGCATTCCAGCCTAGGTGATAAGAGCAAGACTCTGTCTCAAAAAGGAAAAAAAAAAAAAAAAAAAAACAAAAAAAAAAACACTTTGGAGCTTCTATATAGTCATGTGCCACATAATGATATTTCACTCAGGGTGCGACTGCATACAAGATGGTGTTCCCATAAGATTATAATGGCTGGGCGTGGTGGCTCACACCTGTAATCCTAGCATTTTGGGAGGCCGAGGCTGGTGGATGGATCACTTAAGGTCAGGAGTTTGAGACCAGCCTGGTTAACATGGTGAAACCCTGTCTCTACTAAAAAAATACAAAAATTAGCCAAGTATGGTGGCATGTGCCTGTAGTCTCAGATACTCAACAGGCTGAGACAGAATTGCTTGAACCTGGGAGTCAGAGTTGCAGTGAGGGAAGGAAGGAAGGAAGGAAAGGAGGGAGGGAGGGAGGGAGGGAGGGAGGAAGGATAATGGAGCTGAAAAATTCCTATCACCTAGTGACATCATAGTCCTGTAGTGCAACACATTGCCTTTTCTATGTTTAGATACACACATACTTACCATTGTCTTACAAATGCCTATGATAGTATAGTAACATACTATCCAGGTTTGCAGTCTAGGAGCAGTAAGCTATACCATATAGCCTAGGTATGTAGTAGGCTACACCATCTAGGTTTGTATAAGTACACTCTCTAATAGTCACACAACGATGAAACTGCCTAACTATGCATTTTTCAGAATGTATTGCTACTGGTAACCAATGTATAACTGTATCTGGAAATGTTATGAAAGTTATAAGGCATCACTATTTATAAATATTCAGCTAGTTATCATACAGAAATGTAACACCAGAATGCTCTGCTCCTGATTCAATCATGTGTCTAAATACAGCCAGAGTGATTCTTTCATTTTATTTTTTTGAGACAGTCTCACTCTGTCGCCCAGGCTGGAGTGCAATAGCGCGTTCTCAGCTCACTGCAACCTCCACCTCCCGGGTTCAAGCAATTCTCCTGCCTCAGCCTCCCAAGTAGCTGGGATTACAGGTGTGCACCACCACACCTGGCTAATTTTTGTATTTTTAAGTAGAGACCAGGTTTCACCATGTTGGTCAGGCTGGTCTCGAACCGCTGACCATGTGATCCGCCTGCCTGAGCTTCCCAAAGTGCTGGGATTACAGGCGTGAGCCACCGTGCCTGGCTCAGAGTAATTTTCAAAACACAGATCTAAACATGTCACCCCTTACTTAAATTCTTCAATGGCATCCCATTTTTCTTAGGACAGACAAATTCCTTCACAGGCATATAAGAACTTGCATGGCCTGATTCCTGTCAATCTATCCGGTCTTTTCCACTAGACCCCAGCATCACTTTTTATTCTCATTTTCCCTGCTGTAGTTAAGTCTTACTTACCATTCAGTTCTCAGCTCAATTGTCACTTGCTAGAGCAAAGTCCCCCATTATGGTTACTCATAGTAACTGGCACTTCTTTGGGGCATTTATAACAGTTTTAGTTTTACATCTGTGTGATTATTTAATGTCAAGCTGTATCACAGACCATAAACTCTAAAATGGCAGAGGTTTTACCTTAAAATATTCTATGTTCCATAATGTTATTTAATAAAAAATTTACACACATGTATAATTTTAAATACTTCTAGCCTAAGAGATAAATCCAGGAATAGTAGCATTTACCCTCCAAGGCATTACTATCTTTTTTTTTTTTTTTTTTGAGACGGAGTTTCACTTTTGTTACCCAGGCTGGAGTGCAATGGCACAATCTCGGCTCACCGCAGCCTCTGCCTTCTGGGTTCAAGCAATTCTCCCACCTCAATGTCCCGAGTAGCTGGGACTACAGGCCTGCGCCACCATGCCCAGCTAATTTTTTTGTATTTTTAGTAGGAACGGGGTTTCACCGTGTTGACCAGGATGATCTCAATGTCTTGATCTCGTGACCCACCCGCCTCGGCCTCCCAAAGTGCTGGGATTATAGGCGCAAGCCACCGTGCCCGGCCGGCATTACTATTTTAAGTCCCATAAAACAGGCCAGGCATGGTGGCTCATGCCTATAATCCCAGCACTTTGGGAGGTCAAGGCAGGAGGATTGCTTGAACCTAGCAGTTTAGACCAGTGTGGAAAACATGACAAAACCCCATCTCTACAAAAAAAACAAAAAAACACAAAAATTAGCTGGGCATTGTGGCATGTGCCTGTAGTCCAACTACTTGGGAGGCTGAGGTGGGAGGATTGCTTGAGCCTGGCAGACTGAGGCTGCAATGAGCCATGATCATGCCACCGTACTCCAGCCTGGGTGACGGAATGAGAATCTATCTTTAAAAAAACAAAACAAAACAAACAAACAAACAAAAACCTTTATTACGCATCAACAGCAGAAAAAAATAACCAAAAACCTATAAAACATCCATATTTAAACAGTAACCTAATCATCTGTCACTGTTTATCTGTAAAATATGAATAACTTGAAAGATAAGTGAAAAACATATAAAATTTTCAAAACAATGTATGGTATGTGTTAAATGCTAAATAACTGGTACCTATGAATAATAAGTCCTATTTGTTTGTTTCTAAAATGCATTCCCCGAACTTTTTTTTTTTTTTTTTTGAGACAGAGTTTCACTCTGTCTTAGCTGACTGTCTTAGCACGATCTTAGCTGACTGCAACCTTCGCCTCCTGGGTTCAAGCAATTATCCTGCTTCAGCTTCCCAAATAGCTGGGATTACAGGTGCCTGCCACCACACCCAGCTAATTTTTGTATTTTTTAGTAGAGACAGGGTTTTGCCATGTTGGCCAGGCTAGTCTTGACCTCCTGACCTCAGGTGATCTGCCTGCCTTGTCCTCCCAAAGTGCTGGGATTACAGGCGTAAACCACTGCCTGACCTCCAAACACTGATTTATGTAGTAACACTGAACAATTATTATGTTCTTTCAAGCTGGTTAAAAAAACTCTGAAGGGAATAAAATAGATTCAAGAGCTGTTACATCTTTTGTTACAATTTTTAAGGTGATTATATCATTCTTAAGTTTCCTCCCATTATTTACTGTAACCCAGATTTCCTTATTATTTTGTAAGACATATATAAGCCATTATAACATGTATTTAAAATGGACAGATACATAAAATTTATCTTTAAATGCATATTTTATATTTCAGTAGTCAATGACCATCAATCAAACAAAGGAAAAAAAACTAATTTCTTGAAGAAAGACAAATCTATGGAGTGGTTTACAGGAAGTGAAGAATGAGATGGCTCAACTAAACCAGTCTGGAATCATTTACTACAAAATGTCAAACTAACTGCAAGACAAGTGTCAAATGGGATGTTTAAGCAGTTTTGCCATGTTGTACATCTTTATTTTGTTATTTTCAAAATTATATGTAAAAGTTATATAAGTCATAGTAATAGCTAAAAATACCAATCTATGAAAGTAGTAATTTTCAATGTAAAGTTCTATTTTGATACTTTTCCATCTTCAAGTCAGTTGCTGTCATCTGGAGTACTCAGTTAAGTTGTGGTTTGACCTTCCTCAACTTGACAAGGAAAGCTAATTTAAGAGAAGAAAAACGTAAAGTCATTATATTAATTAGAAGAAAAAACACCATTTAATATGGTCTGAAAACATTACTCACCTGTATGACCAGCTTGCCAGTGTACTGGTCTAGCAATATAGGGAAATGATCCATATGGAAAATCAGAATGTGATTCTTCTGTTGTAAAAAATATATGTACTATAAGCTACATAAAATATTTTATAATGTTTTCATAAAAACTGTTAAAATATGAATTACTCTCTTATAATAAAGTTTTTTCTCTCATAGCTACTTTGCCAGTTACTATACAGAAACAATTTGTCAATGATTATATAATAAATATAGATGATTTTATAACCAAATGGATAAGCCCATATTATAAATCAATGGATACTTGAAAACATGTTCATGGCCTAAAAATCTCTATATACAAGGAAGACCTAAACTTAGTTCTTTCAAGAATTCCAGCAGCATCTTAGAAGTTGCTTTTTGGAATATTAGCTATTTGCCTGTCAGGTCCTATTAAATTCATTCCCTTCAGTAATAATCACTTATCTAAATTTAAAACATCCTTAGCATATTTAAATTATTTCACAAGTCAAGCTCCTTGTGACAAGTAAAATATGAATACTATAAAAAGCTCAATCCTAGGCCTGGTGCAGTGGCTCACACCTGTAATCCCAGCACTTTAGGAGGGCAAGGCGGGTGGATCACCTGAGGTCAGGCGTTCAAGATCAGTCTGACCAACAAGGCAAAACCCCGTCTCTACTAAAAATACAAAAATTAGCTGGGTGTGGTGCGCGCCTGTAGTCCCAGCTACTCAGGGGGCTGAGGCAGAAGAATTGCTTGAACCCAGGAAGTGGACGTTTCAGTGAGCTGAGATCGTGCCACTGACTCCATCCTGGTGACAGAGTGAGACTCTGTCTCAAAAAAAAAAAAAAAAAAAAAAAAACCCCACAAAAAAACCCACAAACAAAACTCAATTCTTCAAAGGTATGAGTTTTATGTAAAAGGCAGGAAAAGTCATTTTTCTGTCCCTTATATATTTTAGCAGAATAAAAATATCACACTTCAATTTCTATAGAAAATCACTGAGGAATATTTTCATAACCTATTCATCAGGATACTCAGGAGCTCATTCTCCATTTATTACTGCATGCATAAAGTAAAACTGAAGCTCACCATCGTCATCCTCTTCAAACAGCTCACCTTCAACTCCAATTTTCTCTTGAGAATGTAGTTGTGCATTTGTGTTGATTCCAGGTTCTACTCTTTGAGCTAAAATTCCATTTTTCTGTTTTGCAAGGCAAACCAACCAATCTCTGACAATGACCTCACTTATCTTTTCACACGAAAGAGCAAGTTCACAGATGCGAATTCCATCTAAAAGTTCAATAACCTGTGTGATGCTTTCAGAAAAGTGAAAAATGTACTTTACATTTCTACTAAAATAATAACATTACATTTATTTAACTTCCCTATACCCTGTGTCCAAATTTAAATGCTATAGTTAAATTAAGGCAGGAGAGGGTTTAAATATGCAAGTTGGAAGGCAAAATAAGTACTTTCACAGATTTCCAAGTAAACGAATACAGAGACTATAACATTACTGATCAATCACATTATACTTTTAAAACTTTTCTCCCAGATTATCAGAAGAAAATATGCATCTTATATTACTATTTATGTAAAGAATGATTTAAACAGTAACATAGGGTCGGGTGTGGTGGCTCAGACCCATAATGCCAGAACTTTGGGAGGCTGAGGCGGATCACTTGAGGTCAGGAGTTTGAGACCAGCCTGGCCAAAAGGGCGAAACCCTGTCTCTACTAAAAATACAAAAATTAGCCAGGCGTGGTGGCACGTGTCTGTAATTTCAGCTACTCCGGAGACTGAGGCAAGAGAATCATCTGAACCTGGGAGGCAGAGGTTGCAGCAAGCCGAGATCACAACACTACACTCCAGTCTGGGTGACAAAGCAAAACTCCGTATCAGAAAAAATAAAATAATTAATCCAAAAAATTAAAAATAAGCAGTAATATAAACGAACTTGGGACTTGTCATTTTATAACAGTTTTAAAAGATGCCACATACACTTTATTCAGTTACAAAGGAATATTTTGGCTAGGCACAGTGGCTCATGCCTGTAATCCCAGCACTTTGGGAGGCGGATGGGCAGATCACCTGAGGTCAGGAGTTTGAGACCAGCCTGGCCAACATGGTGAAACCCCATCTCTACTAAAAATACAAAAATTTAGCTGGGTGTGGTGGTGGGCGCCTATAATCCCAGCTACTCGGGAGGCTGAGGAAGGATAATTGCTTGAACCCAAGAGGCAGAGGCTGCAGTGAGCCGAGATAATACCACTGCATACTACAGCCTGGGTGACAGAGTAAGACTCCGTCTCCAAAAAAAAAAGAATATCTTAGTTTGGTACTTCAGCAAAAGTGCATTTAAAAGTCACATTGCAAAGAAAAACAGTTCTGTTACTCACTTTGCTAGATATACAGCACATACACCACCATGCTTAAGATGTGGGTAAAAAACAGGCAAAGCAACATGAGGATTTAACATATCCAAAGCTACCTGTGTGGGGGAAAAAGAGAACTGAATCAGTCTGATTCTGTTTAACTAAAGCATAAATTTTCTTACTGTGGTGAAATGACACACTTTTGGAAAGCAATTACTCAAAATTATTTCATTTTTTAGAATGTTGTATTATTAACTATCATTTTACCATTCCCAAAAGGATATGTTAGTTATTATACAGCTGTGCCAAGTGGCTCATGCCTATAATCCCAATACTTTGGGAGGCTGAGGCAAGAGGATCCATTTGAGGCCGAGTTTGAGACCAGCCCAGGCAAAATAGTGAGACCCTGACTCTACCAAAAAAAAAAAAAAAAAAAATTAGCTGGGTGCCGTGGCGGAGCCCACAGTCCCAGCTACTCAGGAAGCTGAGACAGGAGGGTCACTGGAGCCCAGGAGTTCGAGGCTATAGTGACTTATGACTGTCCCATCACACTCCACCCTGGGCAAGAGTGAGATCCTGTCTCAGGGAAGAAAAAACAATTTGTCATAGTACTTCATACTGAAAAATCAAAATGATATGTCTTATACCTGGCAATATTAATATGGAAATATTCATTTGGCTATGTATGTATATATGAATATAACCAAAGAAAGATTCCTGTATTCCTGTATTATCAATATTGAGAAGTGTAAAACATGCCATTATAACATAAAAAGTTAAAACATTTAAGATAATGTGAATTTATATATTTGTGAATATATATTTGGTTTTTCTTTTTTGTTTTTTTGAGATGGAGTCTTGCTTTGTTGCCCAGGCTGAAGTGCAGTAGCACGATCTTGGCTTACTTGAACCTCCACCTCCCAGGTTCAAGCATTTCTCCTGACTCAGCCTCCTGAGTGGCTGGGATTGCAGGCTCCCACTACCAAGCCTGGCTAATTTTTGTATTTTTAGTAGAGATGGGGTTTCACCATGTTGGCCAGGCTGGTTTCGAACTCCTGACCTCAGGTGATCCGCCCACCTTGGCCTCCCAGAGTACTGGAATTACAGGCATGAGCCACCACACCCAGCCCAGAAGTATATTTTAGGAAGATTAATCTAGAGATGAGGGGAATGGATTAGAAGAGGGAAGGCCCAGGAGGTGAGATGGCAGCTAGGAGAAGAATTAAGTAGACAAAGGGAGCAATTAAAAAAAAAATGGTGGGAATGTAAAAATAAATTGATGTTTAACATATGCCTTTTGATCTTTGATCAAACACCTACCCACAAGCAGTACTGTTACCAATGTGCAATTTTTAGAAATGTTCTTAAGGAAATTATTCATGATCTAGCTTCTATTTAACAGTTCTGTATTATATTTATGAACACCAAGTATAATTCTTTGGCCCTAACAGTATATAACTCTCCCCCAGAGGCCGACACCCTCCTCCTTCTCTATTCCCTCATATTGAGTAATCATCTGGCACTATTATTCAAGAGAGATTAACTGAATAAATCTAAAAAGGCGTATTCTTTTTAGATCAGGAATGGTTCAGCAGGCTTCTACAAAGCTTCAATGATATCATTAAAATCCTTTGTTGTGTTTCATGCTCATCAAGCAAAATTCTGACGACCAACTTAATCTCCCAGGTACTTCTGACATTCCTATGGATGACCTAACAGAGCCTTTTCCCTCTTATTAAGCTGTAACACGCAACCCAAAGATGAGAAAAAAGAACTGAGGTCTTTGTGTCCAGTAAGCTGTACCACTAAAACTATAGGCTTTAGTTATATCAGAGCTAGAAGTCAGTGTTGATAAAAATCATTTTCGTGGCTAGGCACAGTGGTTCACACCTGTAATCCCAGCACTTTGGGAGACTGAGGCAGGCAGATTACCTGAGGTTAGGAGTTCAAGACCAGCCTGGTCAACAAGGTAAAACCCCATCTCTACTAAAAATACAAAAATTAGCTGGCCATGGTGGCATGCATCTGTAATCCCAGCTACTTGGGAGGCTGAGGCAGGATAATTGCTTGAACCTGGGAGGCGGAGGTTGCAGTGAGAAGAGACTGTGCCACTGTATCCAGTCTGAGCAAGAATGAGACTCTGTCTCCCAAAAAAAAAAAAAAAAAAAAAAGATTTTCTCTCCTCTTTGAACTTTGCTTCATTTCTCACCAAAATAGTCCACCACCCTTCCAGGGGCCAATGAAGGAAAGCAAGGAAGACTCCTGACCAAGGCTTCAGTCCATAGTGTAAAGCTAAGAACTGTGAAGTGGCATCACTAAAGACAGGGCAACTTACACTGGAATTCTGAAACTCTGAAGCCAGCAAATACCTCCATGTGTCAGATCTCCACCATGTTTGATCACAGCTTGCCATCTATCTTTTTTTTTCCTTTTTGAGATGAAGTTTCACCCTTGTGGCTTAGGCTGGAAAGCAACGGCACAATCTCGGTTCACTGCAACCTCCGCCTCCTGGGTTCAAGCGATTCTCCTGCCTCAGCTTTCCGAGTAGCTGGGATTACAGGCATGTGCCACCACGCCCAGCTAATTTTGTATTTTTAGTAGAGAATGTTGGTCAGGGTGGTCTTGAACCTCCGACCTCAGGTGATCCACCTGCCTCGGCCTCCCAAAGTGTGGGATTACAGGTGTGAGCCACCACGCCTGGCCTCTTGTCATCTATCTTTTTACCTTCATCTACTCTACTTCTTTTCCCTAAGTCAACCTCCTGCTATTTCTCTTCCTCACAATCTCTCTGCTCCACTTTCTGGAGCTTTGTTCACGACAAACACCTCTGTCCTCAACATCTTCAATGAACACACTGCCCTTACATCCTGACTTTACCTGTCTAAAGCCTTCTG